TCCACGCACTCTGTTGTCAAGGGAAGTAGCTGTGCCGCTTTGTAAGCTCCAGGGTCCTCAGGCCCGGCCACGACCTGTGACCCCCTCAGCATCAGCTGGAGAAAGTGAGGGGCCCAGCTCGCACCAGCGGACAAATGAGGGCCTGGACACACTGTCTTGGGGGCTCTGCTTTTGGTGAGGGGCTGGCCCCTCACTGCAGGTGCTGTGTCCCCAGGGCATCTTGGATGCCCAGTCAGGTGGCAAGGAGCTGCCACATGCTAGCTCTGAGGGTGTTTCCCTTTGCCCTCTTTCATCAAAGGAGCTTTGAGGAGACTCCTTGTCCTGCCCTCTCTGTGCCTCCGGGGGCCCACACAGTCAGTAAGCCCTCCACAACCATTAATTTAGCCAATTTCCTGGGCCACACCATCCCCCAGGGACCCCACTTTGGTGGGCAGTACTGGAACAAGACTCCCTGCTGTTTCCATTCCCTTTTAATTACTTAGGGACAAGCTTCCTTGGGCTGACTTTGGGAGGCAAGCCCCTGGCCGGCCTGGCTGCCCTCCGCCAAACAATGCACACATGTTCCGGAGAATTCCCTCCTCGCCTAATCCGGGCTGGGAAGAAAGGGGCTTTTCTTCTGGTCGTCAAAGGGGATCTTCGATGCTAAGATACCATTTTGTGTCTCAAGTCATGTCACGGGACTTCTGCCTCGGCCTCGCTGCCTGCTCTTTAGAAATGAAAGACACAGTCCTTGATTCACCTCGAGACAAGTGCCCTCCCCTCCACCCGGGAACATAAAAGAAGGCCGGGGAGCGAGAGAAGCAAGGAAAGTGGCCCGCTCCCACTGTTCCTTTCTCCTCTGGGCAACCTCGGCTTTCTGGACTGTTTGCCCAAAGGATGAGCAGGGAGGACTGAGCCTCACCTGCTGATCTCAAGGGTCATGAATATTCTTATAATCCCCGCGGAAGAAGGGGCTTTCATTAGAGGGGTCTGTCCAGGAGGCCGTGAGCAGCGTCGCCACCTCCTCCACCAGCTCGGCCTCCTCAGCTTTCCGTTTCTGTTCCGCAGCCTTCTTTCCCGGGCTTCCCTGCGTCCTTCTGCTTCCTATGGCGGCTGCCTTCTGGCCCTGGCGTGGCTGGAGAATCAGGATTTCACCAGGCCCGCTCTGCTGGTCTCCGTCACTAGTTCACGTTCCAATGTTATAAGCAAATGAAGGGAAATGACTAGGACGTCGCCAACTTGCAAACTGCTGTTCACAGGGTGGCTCTGAGCCCGCGAGCCGACTTGCCTCGTCCCTCCCTGGAACCTGTTCCCAGTTACACTTCCATGCTGCCTCCAGGGGCGAACAGACTCGGGGGAGATTTTGGACTGTCAGTGTGAAATCGCTGCCAGGGAACGACTTAATACTATATAGCAACGTATGATTCTAAATGAAAGCTAAATTGAACAACAGTCAGTTCGAGGGAGGGGCAGCAAGCAGTTCTCTCCTAGACTGGAGGTCTGAGGCACCTTTACTCAACTGAGGACTTCCAAAAACAAAACAACACCCACCCCCAGCAAATCAAACCAAACAAAAACAATCATGTTCTGCATTTAAAGTGTTAATCCTAACATCTCTACAAAAAAAAAAAAGGGTTTTTTTTGGGGGGGGGGCAGATAAAACAGCCTGAATCTAGATTCTCTGCACAGCCTCATGAAAACCAAACACAGGTGTGGCAGCCCAATGTTTATTCAGAATCCTTAACTGCAGTCTCTGGGTTAGAGCTAATCAGCCTCCTTAGCGTCCATCCCGAACACAGCATGTGTGAGAACTGTTTTGTTCACTCTTGGGCCAAGCCTCCCAGCCCCTAAGCACAGCACAGGTGCAGCCAGAGGGGAGCCACACAGCCCAGCAGGGGCCACCGCAGCAGCGCAGCCTCTCCCGAGCTGGCTCCAGGAAGCAGGGCGCTCAAAGGTCAGGCGGGTCCTTGGCTGCCGGTCCTCGGCTTGGCCCAGTGGAAGAAGGATCTTGGGAAAATAAGTGGCATTCAGTGTGCCTGAGCGGACGCTCCGGGAGGTAGGCAAGCTTCCATTGATGTTTCTGGCACCATTTTTGTTTGGTTTGAAAACACCTATTGACTGGCCCTTGGTTTAGATCGATATAGTATCATAATCCTGGCTAATGCTTTTGAACACATGCTGGACGCTTGGAAAGTTGCACATCACCTGGCTTTGATTACAACAACACCACCGCCAACAACAACAACCGGAGATTCACACACACACACAAGGATACATTCACGGACACCACACATGCGCGCACACAGAGTTCTATTTTTATTTTATTTTTTAGTGAAATGAGAACTCAAGAATTTGAGACGAATTTGATACTACCTAGAGAAGAAGTGGCTTCCCAGAATGCTAACCCAGTCAAATTTTCTGGCTGCACCCACAGTTTCCCCCTGGGGGTGGGGAATGGTACCAGATACCAGGAAGCCTGTCAGTGTGGTTCAGAGACCAGGGCTGTAACAAAATAGCATTGCTCTGTTCTTTGGGAATTCCTTTTCTGAGCAGATATTAATCTATAAAATGTTTTACAGTTTCCACATTCTGATAAGCACATCCATTCAATAATGATTTACTGCGGCAGCCGCTGTGTTTAGGAAATTAGGGTCTCTGGCTGTCATGAAATGCAGTCTATCAGACAGACATGGGTGGTCAAGAAGTGGCTCTCAGAAGACAGCCCAGGACATGTTCTTGAAAAACTTAAATCCTGACCCCAGTTTTCACAATAAAGCTTCAGTTGGAAAAACAAGATGTCCTAAAAGACAGTCATGGGTTCAAACATGGGAGCTTGAACTGTCTGAAAAAGCATTCAGGTTCCACAGTGTGGGGCTGGAGAGATGGCTCAGTGGTTTAAGGGCACTGATTGTTCTTCCGGAGGACCCAGGTTCAATTCCCAGCACCTTCATGGCAGCTCACAACTGTTTGTAACTCCAGTTCCGGGATACCCAACACCCTCATACAGATTTGCATGCAAAGTATCAGTGCATACCAAATTTTAAAAAGAAAGAAAAAAAGAACATCACAGCTATATTGTCGTAGCCACCAATGGTCAGAACACTCTTGTCCTTGAGGCTGAAGATAATTTGTTCTCGTTATATAAAATGTAGGGCATGCAGGGGGGATACAGCTCAGTTGAGGTAGTGCTTATGTCTTAGTTATTTTCTATTGTCATGACAAACACCATCACCAAAGCAATTTATAAAAGAAAGTGTTTCATTTGGGAGCTCATGGTTCCAGAACTTTAGAGTCTGTGACTATTCCGGTGGGGAGCATGGCAGCGGGCAAGGCTGTAGAGCACTAGCTGAGAGCTTACATCTGACCCACAAGGACAAGGCAGAGTGAAGCACGCATAATAAAAACTCAGAGAGAGAAACTGGGGGTTCAACCTGAAGATCTGAAAAGTGAACCAGCCAGCCACTGGCTCTTATCTCGACCTCAGTCTGAAATGGCGATCCTGCCTCCAGGAATCTCAGAAAGAGATTGTGTCTGAGAGCTGTCTCCTCCCACTTTTTAATCCTCTCTAGGGCTGGGATTAAAGGTGTGCACCACCACCATTTAAAGGCATGCACCATCCAGTTTTCTGGCTACTAGTGTGGCTACTGGGATTAAAGGTGTGTGTCATTGTGACTACTGGGATTAAAGGTGCACGTCACCGTGGATACTGGGATTAAAGGTGTGTGTCACCATGAGTACTGGAATTGAAGGTGTGCGTTACTGTAACCTGGACTGTAAGGCTGACCAGTGGGACTGTTTTACTCTCAGATCTTCAGGCAGTCTTTATTTATTAAAATACAACTGAAATGCCATTACAGGAGAGAGATAGACACTGGGAATGACATGGGTTTTTGAAACCTCATACCCTACCCCTAATGACATACCTCCTCCATCAAGGCCTCCTAACCCTTCCCAAACTGTTACACCAACTGAGGACCAAGTAGTCAAATATCTGAGCCTATAGAGGTCACTTTCAAACCACCACAGTTTCCCTGCCATGCATGAAGTTCTGGGTACCATCTCTAGAACCAGACTTGGTTGGAAATGCTTAGGATCCCATCATTCAGGAAGTGGAGGCAGGAGGATCTGAAAGGTCAGCTGCGTAGCAAGTTCAAGGCCAGCCTGGGCTACGTGATACCCTATCGCTTAGTGAAATAGAAGGAAACAGGGTCGTGGAGGGCAGTAGTAAGATCAGCCTTGAGGTATCTTTGAGAAATATACATGCAACTACTGAGGTGCTGGGGATCATCGTTGATGACATAGCTGGCTTTGGGAGCGGATGACATTTAGCAAGAGCACATAGACCGAGAGTAGGTCAGGACAGAATTCTCAGTGGTTGGATGGGGAAAGAAAAGTTGGCAACTTTTCTATTAGACATTCTAGCAGAAGAGGAGGAAAATCAGCATGGATATAATGGAGGTGGCCAGGATTCCAAGGCGGGGCTGGTCAACAGTGTGGACTGCAGTGGTGGGTCAAACAAGACATAGTCTGAAGACAGACACCTGAGTGCAAGGACGGGAAGTCACTGGAACCTCAAGGGACAGAGCAGACCGGGAGGAGTTGTCCGAGGACCTGAATGCAGCCCATTCTTGGACGTTTGCTATGCTGCTTCTGGTACTTGTCATTCATAAAAGAGACCCTGACTTTAGGTTAATAGACCAAGGGGTTTTTCATGGGGAGTACAGGTCTACAGCTATTTTCAACCTGGGCTTGTTTGTTTGTTTGATGAATGTAAATCACTGTTATGAGGCTTAGCTATAGGATCAGGTCCTACATAATCAAAGCAATGGTCTTTTTACTTTAGAAAATTTTATTTTTTAAATCAGAGTACACACTATATGGCATGCTTGAACAAAGGGTGTGCCCTTGAGTTCCATTTCTCTTGCTGTGACAAGGACTGCGGCAAGAAACACCATAAGGGAGGAAGGGCTTATTTGCTTTGCAGTCCCAGGTTATAGTGCCTCGTTTGAGGGAAGTCAAGGCAGAAGCTCAAGTAATTGGTAACATCCCATCTATAGTCAAGAGCCAAGAGAGACTACATCCTTGTGCTTCCGCTAGCCTTTTTCTCAGGAAATGGTGCTTCCCATATTGGACTGGGTCTTCTATTAGTTAACATCAAGACAATACCATAGCACCCCACGGACATGCACACAGACTAATTTGATCTTGATACTTCTTTCTTAAGACTGTCTTCCAGGTAAAGGCCCTTGAGATTTCCATCCTATTTTGTATGCACAATCTTTTATTTAACCTCACCAATTTGTCCTCACAGCCTTTTACTAACCAGTTTCTCCTTTATAAAAATCGTCCTGCTGCTGTAGGCTGGTGCTGTTGACTGGGTCCCTCCGAAGGCTCTAGCACTCCACCAGGGCTGGTTCTCGGCCAGTGGAAGAGTACAAATATTGGTACTGCAAATTCATGCTGACCTTGCGGCAGCAAAAGGACCTGGAAGACCCTGTACCTGATGCTGGGGCACAAAAGAGTTGGTATCTGGACTGGAGACATAGCTCAGCAGTTAAGACCACTGAGGAACCACGTGGTGGCTCACAATCATCTGTAATGAGATTTGGTGCCCTCTTCTGGTGTGCAGGTATATATGCAGGCATAATAAATAAATCTTAAAAAAGATTTTTTAAAAAAAAAAAAATAAAAAACAAAAAAAAACAAGAGAGTTGGTATCTAAGGGGGCAGTGACTCGTGTAGAGACATCCCTATGCAAACAAACTAAAAGAAAAAAAATTGAGGGCACAATTTTCTTCTTGACACATTTCCTGTGTTGAGTCTAGTTGATAGCTCACAGAACCAGAAATGCGTGCCATGATCCAGTTAGAACCGTCTCAAGAAGCTTTATTGTCAGAATCGAACTGATTGATTAAGGTTTAACTCTCATTCAAGGCATAATAAGAGAACTGAACCTACTCATTTCACACAATGACTGCCTTATCCCCTTGGTTGATATATCTCCAAGATCCCCTGAGGTAACAGTCATGCAGGCCACCTGTCCGTTAAAGGTGATTTCCTTTACAAAAGGCAGTTTCGCAGGAAGCTGATCAAGGCTTCCGTGAGACCGGCAGGACTCTGATTTCTATCAACAGAGAAATACAGCTACACAGAATCAGATTTTAACCGGCTGGGGGCAGGTGATAAACACAAAGGCTTATGGCAATCACAGAGGTGACGTATATGGGCTGCAGTGAGTGTGTTGAGACTGGAGACTGGGGAGGATTGCGTGGATTCCAAAGATAATGGAGTAAAAACTGTCAAAACAGGTGACGGGCTCGTTGATCGTACTGAGGGGGACACTACCACGTTTCTGTCTGGCGCACAGCACAGTGCCTGCCTCTAAACAGCACAAGTCAGAGAAGGGGCAGCGCCACGGAGGGAGGACTGGCTGCCCTTTGGCTGGGTTAGATAGAAACCGTCTGTGCCATCTGCAAGCAGCCTGCTGGGGATGAGGGTAGAAAGATGGAGAGAAGGGGACAGATAGATGAGAGCCTGGAGCTGGCACAGGGGGACCTGTCCGGGAGGGGACTGCCATCCCACGGGTACCTACAGCCAGCACTGTGTGTCGGCAGCCACTTTGTCATTTAGAAAGAAACCCAGGCAGGGGTGGTGGCACAAATACAGGGTTTACAGAAACAGCCAATTGATTTTCAGACGTGAGGATACAATGACATTTTAAAAGTTCATGTTTCTTATTTCTGGGTAACTGCGTTCACAGTATCCAGGATGGAGAAAGCTAAAGTCATGGTAAAGAGCCCATCCACATGAAAAAAAGTAAAATAAAAATAGCTAACGTAACAGCTATGCTGAGTTCTCAAGTGGCCCTGAAAGACAAGGGCTGGACCAATACCAAGGCTGTTTGTACAGAAGGGCAATCTCCCGCTCCTTGACTACGAATTAAGTTTACCCACACCTCAAACAGTATCTGCTCTCAGGGCCTGCTGTATCCTCAGGCTGCTAACCCATGGCTCCTTAGAAACCTCCCTTGGTTTCAGGCCGTTTCACCCTTTTCTAGTGCAGGGCTGAGCCAGGGCTCTCATGTTTTTCCCTTGAGGGGAGGACTTGCCATCTCTGAGCCAGATGTTCAGGAGGGACTCGGGGCTCAGTTCTTAGCACTGGGCTCAGAAAAGGTGTGCTGGGGGGGAGGGTAGGTGAAGGCACTGCTTCTTCAGTGGCTTCAGGGGCCTATCCACAGTTCCAGGTGCCTACCTTCTGAACTCCTGATCTCGCTTCACCCTTCCGGACACACCCTGTGCCAATCAGTGTTTCTTCCTCTTGTCTGTCTCCAGGTTCCTGTCCTGACTTCCTTTGAGGATGATGAGCAGTGTGGAAATGTAAGTCCTCCCCAAACCATTTTTGGTAATGGTGCTTCATCACGGCAATAGCAGCCCTAAAATTCAAAGCTGATGTAAAAGCTTTTTTCCCCTAGGCTCGCCCGTTTGAACTGCAGTGCCTGGCAGGATTAGAGGAGGTGGTTGAATCTCTAGGAGGTGGAGCCTCCCTGGGGTAAAGGGTCATCAGGACTGGGCCTCCGGATTTCACAGCAGCCCTGCTTCTCCACTCTCTACTTCCTGACTAAAGATGTCCTATGTCCAGCCATGTCACGCTCCTGCTGCCAACTCCCCTTGCCATGAAGGACTGTGCATCTTCTCAAATTCGAGGCAGAATGAAATCTTCCTCCTGTAGGTGGCTTTTTGTTAGGTAGTTTGTCACAGCCATCAGTTCTTGTTCCTTCTCATTTCAGATGCAGGAGGTAGGGCTCTCCTGGGCCAAGCAGATGGCGGAGTCCCAGAACAGGCATTCTTCACGCCGTCTCCTGTGATCTGTTCCTCTTTTGACACATGCGTCAGAACTCTGTATGTGCCATGGCGTTGCCTCTCCCTGCTCAGCAGCAGCCTCTCCTAGCCTACTGCCAGGTAGGCTTGTGCTCTTTAGAACAAGGGATGAACTCTTTTGTGAGTCTTGATTCTATAGCTACATTCTTAGTGGCTTAAGGGGCACACTGAAGAGGGCTGTCCTTTGGGAGATTTGTTAGTAGAGCTATGGACCCCATTGACAAATGGACAGAGAGAATAAGTGGGGGCTCTGAGATTTCAGGCCCATGGGGCTGAGTGGGGGTCACTTCTTAGAGGTTTCAGGTTCTACACCATGTGATTCATGGGTGGTCCATGGTAGGGTTCTCATTCCAGGGAATAGGGTGGCAGGCATGTGTGTGTCTTGCATTTGCAGGAGTGTGACTTTAAGTGTGTGTGTGTGTGTGTGTGTAGGAGGAACCCATTTGGCTAATGTGTATCTACCACACAGGTGTACCGCAGGTAACTTCGGATTGTTTGGAGTTTGTTAGCCTGGGGTCTGTGTGCAGAATCAGCTGTTCCAGCTGCAGGTGATCAAGACTCAAACAGCAGCTGGGATCTAACACACCCACCCAGTGTACAGACAACTGGCATTTTTTTTGTGGGGTGGTTTTAGGTAAGCGGTACATCAATTATATATTTGGAATACCTCTTTTATGGTAACTTGCAAAAATGCAATTGCCTCTTGGCAGAATCGGTCAAAATGAACGAATTGGCATGGTAAGCTCCACTTCACCCTGCGGAAGCTCACCAGTGTGCCTTTCGGAACCTGAACACACCGGACACCGAGAGCACAAAGGTTTTTATACATACATGTGCAACTCATCCAATAAAGCTTTCCCTTAGTACATACTGATGTTATGCTGGATGCAGCAGCAGAACACACGCCTGCAAATGCGTGCACTTGAAAAGAGGTGTGTGAGCGCTCACCCAAGCCTGTGTGTGCGGAGGTCAGGGACTGATGGCGACCCATGGGTGCCCTCCTCTATTGCTCTTCCCAGCATGTGTTTCATCAACTGAGCTCTCTTCAGCACCTACTATGGTGTCTTTCTGTGAACCTGGAGCTAGATGCCAGCAAGGCCCCAGGGCCTCTCTGCTCCTGTCCCTCCCCAAGTGCGAGGGTCAGAAATGTGAGTGGCTGCAGCTGGCTTTTTCCAGGGTGCTGGGAGTCCAAAATCACTTTGCACACCGACCTTCAGAATATATGGATTCCTGTTTTTAAATCTAATGGTCTGTGTCATGAAGGCACTGATGCCTCAGGATAGAACTGATAAGGAAGCTCCAGGCCAAGGCCCAGTCCTTTCTGCAGTTCTGTTTCCAGGACTTCGCAGCTACACTTACACGGGCTCCCATAGAGGCCTGTCAGCCAGCTAGCATGGACTTCATACAGCCCCCGTCAGGTTACACTGGTCAGATGCTGATAGCGCCTACACCAAGAAGCTGTAAAAATAAGTAGGCCTGTATATTGAAGCATCTGGAATACAGCAGTGTTTAATAAATAATCACCCTCCAGGCCAGCCTCATCATAAATCTGTGCCTCCAAGAACATCCAGAAGTCATATTGTTTCCAGAAGTTGTGTTATTTTCAGGTCTCAGAAGCACCCAAGTCCACAGACGGACAGACTGCTGGAGCTGAAAGCCTCAGACAGCCACTCACGGGTGGGCAGAACGCTGAGTGAAGATGCTTCTGACTCACGGGTGTCTGGATCTCAAAACTTAGCTTCAAGCATTTAAAAATAAGATGTCATATGATCATCCCAAGCCCTGACTTCCCTTACAGGCGGCCTGCTTGCGGAGGTGCTGTCCTGTGCCCTTGTGCCTGAATCTCCATGGAACAGAATTTGCTGGAATTGGGAACCGGCTCTTGCTGTAGCGCTAAACCAATAGCTTCTTGGGCTCCCTCCTTCCCTCCCTCCCTCCCTCCCTCCCTCCCTCCCTCCCTCCCTCCCTCCCTCCCCCCTCCGTCCCTCTCTCTGCAAAATATGAGCTCTAGTATGGGGCTCTAATGTTGTAGTTCATCCTTTAGGTATAAAAAGAAAACCTGTTCTTTGTTTAAGAATTCTTCCATCACACCACACTATAGCCACTTAGTCAGGTACTAGGACACACACACACACACACACACACACACACGATTATCCTAACTGTAGATATCAGTATAAAGGGCATGATGACTCAGGAGTGAAGAACTCCCCTACGCAGAAACATGCTGGGCAAGGCTTGAGCTTCCTGGCAGCAGATGTTGAACATGCCGACGTGTGGCATATCCATCTGCTCTAGAAGGTTCCCCATTTCCATATTCTCATTTTGCTTTTTTTTTTTTTTTTTTTTTCCTGAGGAGGTTAAACATGCCACGCCTCATCTGCACAGACTTTCTGCTTGGCTGGCCTCAGACAAAGTTACCATTAACTCCCCAACCTGCAAGAAAATGATTTGACACAAAGGATTCCAAAATGTCCTCCTCTCCCCCTACAAGCCTGCAAACAAATAGTACAGGAATGAGGTCAGAAAGGAATCCCCCACCCACCAGGCACTGAATTCATTTACCTACCTCAGTGCCCATTCACAGAAAGGGGTGGGACAGGGAACAAGAGCTGCTTGGAGGCCAAGTAGAGTTTGGGGGTCGCACTACATTACAAGATTTGACAGGCCTTTGCCAGCCTTCAGCTTCTTTGTATCCTTTCACATAATGGAGCGACACAAACTGAGCAGCCAGGATCCGTGGTGCCGCCCCAGCACCGAGCACCCTCTTTGCAAATGCTAATGGTATTGCAGCATCCTGTCACTCGCTTACACAAAAAAGGATGTTGATTTCCACATGAACCAGAACAGCCTCATTGTACACAAGTTTGTGACCAACTTGTACTATCTGCACATCAAAAGGCCAGCCAATCATCGAGGGCACAGCTGGCGAATAGCACCAAAGGGGGGCGCCCATGGGGAGAACATCCCGGTCCCGGTGCCTCCCGCCATATGAAGAACACCATGGTCTATAGTCGCGTTGCAGCTATGGCCATAGTAATTAGTATAACTAGCGGGAATGTAAATTATCAAGATGTTTGGAAAGAGGAGTCTGGATACATAAAAATGGGAGTGGCTTGGTGTTGATGCTGAGAAGTGCCTGAAAGACAGTCTTGGCAGGAAAAGCTGCCATTTCCATATTAAGGCTTGAGAAGCCTGACGTGCCTCAAAGCAAGAGAACCAAGGGGTGTATATGAGATTTCTGGAAATAAATTTAGTTGAAATTGTACAGGCTTCTGTTAACACCTTTCCTTTCAAAAGTGTTAGTTTTTTTTTAAGTAACAAAAAGACAGCCAAAGGAGAAACTTAGGAAAACTAAATTTGGTACCACGGAAGAAAAAAAAAAATTAAAGTTTTAAAAACTGGGATTAAAAAAAAAAAAAAACTCTGCATCTTTGGAAGTTAACCCAAAAAGATCAGTATCTGCAAAAGTAAGAGGTGGAAATTCCCAAGGTGAAGGGAAATGGCAAAGGAGGGCTGACAGGCTCAGGCCCGCAGCCGGGCACACTCTGCTCAGAGCCGTTCCCGCAGCCAGGCACACTCTGCTCAGAGCCGTTCCCGCAGCCGGGCACACTCTGCTCAGAGCCATTCCTGCAGCACAGCCTCACGAATTTCCCGCTTGTTTGAATGAAGGGCTCATCTTGACTTTCTCATGTATGGTGTACCAGTGGGCCCCAATACCACGCACACGCGTGCTGTCCTCAAAGCACTTTGTAGAGGAGGTTACTGTGCAAAGTGCTTTGTGACCAGACTGGCTTTCAAAGCCTGACTTTGCCACCACGGTGGCTTTGTCAAAGGCACTCACAGCCACAGACAGAGACAGTTCTGCTAGTGATAAAAACAAAAGTCATGCTGGAATCGTGTTCCGGATTTGAGTTTTCTCAATCAATTCACAGGCACAGTCTTCTGGCAAGACAAGCCGCTGACCATTAGTGCTTCCGGCGAGCTCTGGATGAATCTCTTTGCTCAAGGCTAGCTCTTTACAGTGCTGAGCCCAGCTCAGATCTTTCACAGGCCTCCTTGCCAACACACTTCCGGCACCTCCTACTCTAGTGCTGTTCAGTGAGGAGGCAGGTTTACTATTGTCTCTGGGTGTGTGCACTTTGTTGTTGAGGCATTAGTATGGTGACTTCTGGTTATTGCTATCTATAAATAACAGAAAAAAAAATCATGTATTTGCATTCCAGGGGGTCTGGCTGGTAGGTTCATTATTGTCTGTGTGGACCTTTCAATTTACATTCACTAGACAAACATGTTCTTAACCAAGAGTCAAGTAAGCTTTACAGTCCTGGTTGGGTGTGGCTCAGTGGTTGAGTGTTCTGTCTTCAATCTCCAGTACCATGGAAGAGAGAAAAAGAAATGAGGGGGAGGGGAGGGAGGGAGGGAGAAACAGAGATGGAAAAAAGGAGAGAAGAGGACACAGAAAAAAAAGAATTCAATAATAGAGGGAGAATAGATTGGGCAACAAAAAGTGCTTATGCTCATTCCTCAAGTTGAAAGGTCAAGGATTTGCAGAACTTTCTAGAGGCTAAAGCAAGGCCAGTAAAATCTGAGTTCTGTCCAAAAGAACAGAATATTCGTTGTCTCTAATGGAAGCTTTGCAGGCTCAAAATTATTGAATAATTTTAGGGTACCACTAGACTTTTGCAAAAGATACTGCTACCGACCTTGAACAAAGACATCATGAAAGCCAGGGCTTACCACCGTGGAGGAAGGTGAGTCGTTCAGACTGCGGGAAGAGGGAGCTAACCTGTTCCTTTCAAATTCCTTCACAAAACCTTCAAGGTCTCATGAGTGTTTGGTACATGCTACAGTGGATAAAATCCTGACTTCCAGGTTGTTGCTCTGTTACTCAGTTATGCAAGACTGGGGGTAGACCTGTCCCCAGGAGTGAGCAGGGGACTTGGTCCTGGGAGGCTGTGGCCAGCAATACTGTGTGGTGACTGGGTCTTTAGTGGGGTCTCTGGTTTCTCCTTCCAAGTTTTCAGTTTCAAATACGTGCACAGAAATCAGTTTACATCTGTATTAGTTTATACTACTAATAAAAATAGCAGCAATTCTTTATCACAAAGAGGTATGGAAGAGCTGACTTGAACATGCCTAAGAGTAGTTACTGCCTTCCAAAAGAACCCTAACCTGGTTTTAAGAACATGTGTCACTCACTGAAGTCTTTCCAGGAGGAATCACGTACATGTTTGCCACCGTTTGATTTGAAACAGGCTGCCATGTAGCTCAGGTTGGGTTTGAACTCCTCTTTTGAGCTGGGGTTTCTCTGCGTAGCCCTGGCTATCCTGGAACTCACTCTGCAGACCAGGCTGGCCTCAGACTCACAGAGTTCTGCCTGCCTCTGCCTCCTGAGTGCTGGGATTCCAGAAGGTACTACCACATCTGGCCACGTTTCCGATTATTAAGGTGGTAACTCAATTCTGTCATTTTAGGAAAGTAATCTAACATAATGACTTTTGAGGACGATCTTTCTTACCTATAATTTTATGAACTGTGCTCCTCAGCACAAAGCTCTCCTAATTAGTCTTTATAATGTTACTGTAAGCCTCCAACAGTTTTGTATTTCCAGTTTTCTGTAAACGTCTACCTAGTCTGGTTAGTGCAGGGTCAGGGACCATCATAGCCATCTCAAGCTGGTTACTTAATTATAAATTTTCCTAAGGAAGCACACTTGTGTTGTCTTTAGCACATTGTAACTATATTAATTCCTTAACTGAACAAATCTGCTAAAAGAAAACAAATTGTTCTATTGAGTCTTTAGGAACTAAATTCTTCACTTTTTGGATGAAGATCTGGAACTTGAAACACAGAAAAGACAAAAGCTTGAATTACAACAAAGGATCTTACATTCACTGACCAGAAATCTGTCCTTCTGTACCTTCTCCCAGTGATGACTGTGCCCTGCACACCAAGTCCCGCACTCTGCTAGCTAACTGCCAGCGAGTTACTTTATGAGCATCACTCAGGAGCAAAGTGTGGTGGCAATAAAACGTGAGAATAGGACACTTTAATCAGAATGGATAGACGTGACGCTTACAGTTCCCTCCAGGCCTTGAAGTTAGTTAACAGCCCTCAGCGAGCGTCCTGTGGGGCTGAACACATCAGCACCATCAATGGAAGCGATGGTCACAGCTGCACAGTGCAGCTAGAAAACTGTTCTAGAATTTTCACATTTTACTGAAGAAAATACTGAAGTGTTTTGACAAATGTCAAGGCAGGAAAAGCAGCATCAGCTGGACATGGATTACAAGTGAGATGTGCAAAGTCCAGGACATTCAGCCTTCTGAGAAAACCACTTTGAAAGCTCCTTAGCTCAGGGGTTTGGCTATATTATGGGGCGTCTCTTCCTCATTAAAACAAAGACAAGGTAAAAAGATGCTCTCCATAAGAGAACTATAATGTCACTTAGTATCTTTTAATTACCCATCTACACAAATGACCTCAGATCAAGCACAGGCAAATAGAAGTCGTAGTAACGTTTACATCGAGTGTAAGGTTTAAAAAAATAATACAAAGTCCATTCACAGTGCACATGAAGACATGGTTAAGTGTAAATATTTAGATATCCAATAGCCATGATTGTTTAGAAGGTAAGCATATTTCCAAGCACATTTCCATTTGCTACAGCAACGACAGTCTACCATACACCAGCATAGAGGATGGAGATACGCCAGCACCGTGATCTCATTACTGCAAAGAAAAAGATACCATGTTTCTTTTTATCAGATAAATACATCTGAAATAAATACAAAATTAACT